ATGTTGTCAAGGTCACCCTCCTGAGTGACCTTCAGAAGGTTTTAGCCGTCGCTCGTTTTTTATTAAAAAGTTATTAACTAAAATATTATTCATTAAATGTGTGGAATAAATAAATACATGAATGGACAGAGGAATTTTAAAGATAGAGAGAAATTAAATTAGAAATAAGTTTGGGTTAGGTTATTTCTTTCGGAAGTGGACCCCCCCCCTAGGGGGGCGGAACCCACTGTTTTATGAATACACTTTTTAATGCGAAGTAAGGTTCCACATGGATTTACAACTTTCCACGCGAAGCGAGGTTCAACGCAAACAAATGTGTCTAGTTCTTTGATAGTGGAGCCCCCCCCCATAGGGGGCGGGCGGAACCTATTGTATCCATGCATATACTTTTTAAAGCAAAGTGAGATTCTACATGGGTTGTACATGAGTTGAATCTCGCTTTGCGTGAAAAGTTGTAAATCCATGTGGAATTTCATTTCTCATTAAAAAGTATACGCGTGGAGGCAGTATGTTCCGCCCCCCCCCCCCTACGAGGGGGCTCTACTATCAAAGAACTAGACACATTGGTTGGCGTTAAACCTCGCTTCGCGTGGAAAGTTGTAAACCCATGTGAAACCTCACTTCGCATTAAAAAGTGTATGCATAAAACAGTGGGTTCCGCCCCCCATACGGGGGAGCTGCACTTCCGGAAGAAATAATCTAACCCAAACCTATTTCTAATTTAATTTCTCTCTATCTTTAAAATATAAGCTTGGTAATTCATGCCGATTGCCATATAAACAACATATAGTGAGTAACATACTAAGTAAGAATATCAAAAGAAATCAAAACAAATCAGTGTTTGGGAATGTAATGAATGTTTGTATATAATACGTATCTACATCACCAGTCTCGGTATGTCATATAGTCGTGTATCAGTCAGTTGGATAATTTCAAGATTTCCTTAATTTCCAACATGCATTTGCACGAATTTATCAATTTGACATAAAATTTTGATTGTTTGTGCAATTTTTTGTGTGAGAAGAAAGTTGTTCGTGGCGAAATAACGTCTAAGATGCGAAAATGTATTAGTACTAAACACATTCAATAAATAATATTTTAGTTAATAACTTTTTAATAAAAAACGAGCGACGGCTAAAACCCTCTGAAGGTCACTCAGGAGGGTGACCTTGACAACATATGTCAAGGTCAAGGAAAAGATGGCGTTAAACGATGGTATACAGATTTTGAGTCAGTGGCGCTATCAGTCGTTAAACACGGATACTTATCATACAGCCCTCGTATTTTACAATTAAGTATTCTTTTTAAATTAACAGCCTTTACAAAAAATATATTTTAACATTTTTATATTATGTATTTTAAATATATTATATTAAAAAAGATTATGTTGATTAAACTATTATATTAATTACAATAATTTAAGCAATATATTTTTTAATAATAATGACTTTAATAATAATTTTTATACACCCATACAATTCAATATGTGTGCGTTATAAAATGGCCAACATATTTTCGAAATATTAACAATTGTTCTAAATATAATTCTCACACAAAATATAATAATGATTATATAACAAAACATATAAAAACATTTTGTTTAAGTGTCTGTGGAATTGAACTTGAGTCATCTACTGCGTGATAGACTCACCTCATCATTTTGCACTTCGCCATTATGTATTACTTGCACATATTTAGCTTTCATGCTATAAATATATATACTTATGTAGTATACAGGGTGTCCGGTAAAGATTGTGCCAACGCTCGTGAGCGGGTAGAGCACAATAAACTGAACAGAAAAGTCCTGTAACACGATTTCCTCACACGTCTTCCCATCCAAAAAAAGGAATCGAATGACTGACCGATATTGCTCTTTTTCCATGGTTGTAACAAACACAAACTTGCCCACTTTCAACAGCTATCAAAACAAAACTACTCGATAAATCTGTCTGAAATTTTGACAGGCGTCGTTCAAAAGATGGCGTTAAACGATGGTATACAGATTTTGAGTCAGTGGCGCTATCAGTCGTTAAACACGGATACTTATCATACAGCCCTCGTATTTTACAATTAAGTATTCTTTTTAAATTAACAGCCTTTACAAAAAATATATTTTAACATTTTTATATTATGTATTTTAAATATATTATATTAAAAAAGATTATGTTGATTAAACTATTATATTAATTACAATAATTTAAGCAATATATTTTTTAATAATAATGACTTTAATAATAATTTTTATACACCCATACAATTCAATATGTGTGCGTTATAAAATGGCCAACATATTTTCGAAATATTAACAATTGTTCTAAATATAATTCTCACACAAAATATAATAATGATTATATAACAAAACATATAAAAACATTTTGTTTAAGTGTCTGTGGAATTGAACTTGAGTCATCTACTGCGTGATAGACTCACCTCATCATTTTGCACTTCGCCATTATGTATTACTTGCACATATTTAGCTTTCATGCTATAAATATATATACTTATGTAGTATACAGGGTGTCCGGTAAAGATTGTGCCAACGCTCGTGAGCGGGTAGAGCACAATAAACTGAACAGAAAAGTCCTGTAACATTTTTTTCTATAACGTTTAATAAAGGAGTTATTATTAAGTAAAGTCTAGTCAATCAGCGCCGATTTTTAGCCGGATGCACGTCTATGAGCCGCCCACCTGGTAGTGTGCGCCGCCGTAGCGACGGAGCGCTCACGCACACTACCAGACGCGCGGTTTAAACGTAGACAAAAGCAAATTTCATATGTAGGAAAATACATATTCATATAATTAAATCTGGTTATACTGAAAACGCTGAGCGATGTGAAGTGGACCTACGGGTGAAAAGTAATAAATCCATATAAACATCGTACATAAAGATTTATATTTGACCCATATATTATATGTGTGAACTTTCATTCGTTAATTAATTTTTAATGAGCGACGACTCAAATCTTTGAAATGCTATTCAAAGTCATGAACTGGACAACATATGTCAAAATCAAAATTATTAAGGCTGGCTCTCTCTTTTCGTGGCTCTCAAATTAAAATATTTATCTTTTTTTATTATTATAAGCAATACTGATATTATATAATAAAACATTAAAATTTTCATATAAAAAATATTATATAATTGTAATGTATGTAATTGTATGTCTTATTTTAAAACATTCTTATATTCAAAAATATAGAAATAAATCAACTTGATACTTACCCTGATTTATGAAGTTCTTTTTTCGAGACGCAGACAGCAGTAAACATGTTTTCCAAAAGGCAAAGTTCCTTCTTCTTACAGTTGAGTGGGCGACAAAGCTCACCTGAGACAAGAAATATACAATTTTTTTTTTATAATACATTTATCTTTTATATTATTCATTAAATTCAAGAAATATAACGAAATCAGATTTATACTTCAAAGTTTGAACAAAGGAATGTCTTATCTTTTGTACATTACTCATCTAAAAACTTCTATGTAATAAAAATGTTTAAAAATATTTTAACAAGAAAAAAGAAAGGCTAATTGGAGCCTAGACGCAGTACATGATGCATATTAAAGTATTATATTTTTATTTCAAATAAAAGTCATTTGTCGAGATCACTCCTCTTGAGCAATTACTTCCGCTATAGTCTCCCTAAAGTTGACAAAGAAAATTATTCTCTAACAATCATTGTCTCTTCTACAAATAGTCTTCTCCATTCCTTTGCAGTCTTCTTACACAACATCATCTTTAAAAACATTCTTAAGACTCATAGCCATATCTCCAACAGCTATGATCTGGTTAAAAAATTAAGCTCAAGAACTATTGATGAATATTATCAGTTGATTTCATTGGATGTTGTTTCTTTGTTTATGAGTGTTCCGATTGAACTAGCTATTAAAGGGATAGATAAATAATGGCACCACATTAGCAAAAATACGTGCATCACGTATGGTGAATTTCTTTCTGGAAAGAGTCCGTCTTGAGTTAAATTCCACTTTTTTTTAATTTGATGGGAAAATTTATAAACAAACCTTTGATACTCCAATGGATTCTCTTTTGTCTCTCATTCTGGGGAATAACATTATGAAGATCTTAAAGAAACAGCCATCTCAAGATTATCCTTAGTATTGTTGTTTTATTTCAGATATGTTGATGATGTTACCTTTGCTATTCTTCTTTCATTTTTTTTTACCATCCTGGAATTGTTTAACTCTTTCCAATAAATTACAGTTCACCATTGAAATTAGCACAAATAATCAAATCAATTTTTTAAATGTTTCCATCATTTTACCTAATGGTAATGTTGTATTTGATTGGTATCGGAAATCGACTTTTCCGTCTAAATTATTACTCGTAACATCCAATATGCCACAAGAAGAATGTTATTATGGGTTTAGTAGATTATGTTGAAATTGTTACACTTACAATTTTATGAAAAAAAATCTCTCGTAATAAAAAATTTATCGTTGACATCTTCCTAGATATATATAATAACTATCTCTTAGAATTTATTTTTACTACCATTAAGAATAGGATCAAATTTTTTATCTGCCGGAAAGAACTTTCTCCTTTCCCCTTCACACATTCCTCTTTTATTTTTCCTTCCTTTTTCAACATCCCATTTATCAACGGTGTCACTGAGAAATTCGTTTCTGTGATTAAAGACTCAGAAAAATCTGTGGCTGAAGTGTGCTTAAATAAATTAAACAAATCATTGAAACACAGAAGGATCCTCTCCCAAAAGAGAATATGTTAATCAAACAAGGATACAACTTGCAACTAGAATTAAAGAACATCGTTGCAACATAGATCGGTCTCTTCCCATTCAGTTGTAACAGACCATCGCATTAGAGGCCATGAGTTTGACTGGGAAAATGTTTGCATTTTGGCAGGAATTTTCTTATATTATAAAAAATATTTCTGAAATATTACATATTAAACAGCAAAAAGTTGGGATTTATCTACAAAAGAATGCAAGTCTCCTTGACCTCTTACTTCCCAATTCTTAATAGATGTACTTAATTTGAATCTCCTGCTCTTCTTACGCTTTGTATTACCCAGATTCAATTTTATTTACTGACTTAACGTGTATTCCTGACATTTCCACGTACCTCTCTCTTGCTACTTACTTATTGTTCACAGATCATTTACTGACGTGACGTTCTGTAGATCACTTATAACAGTATACTATATGTTAGGTTTTTAAGTTCAAAGTTTATTACAAATATAGAATTAACACAGAGTATTATCACAAGGATTCTTCGAGAACAATCTTACTAGTTTTGAGAATACAAGTCGAATGCATCTTAACTGTTACGCGGCTAAATTTTGAGAGAGCGAGGAGCACGCTGCTCCAATTTGCTGGTTGCGCATCCCCTTCTTCTTACGCACGCGCAGAGCATTACCATATTCTGACGCTCGCTACATTCATACATATATACACATACATTACACACAGATTATAATTCCCTTAACACTCCCTCTTATAATTTATGTGTCTCGCCAAGGTACATTTACATATGAGTTTATATTTCTTTTATGCCAATTAATTCGCGTAACATTTGAAATTTCTGTTTGCTTAAAGGCTTTGTAAAAATATCCGCTTTTTGAATATTAGAATTAATATACTTTAATTGAATCTTTTTGTTTTTATACTTTTCTCTAATAAAATAAAACTTGATGTCTATGTGTTTACTTTTCTAGTGCACATCAGGGTTTTTAATGAGTCGAATCGCACTTTCATTGTCGAGTCTGAGTTCAGGTACTTTAATTGTTCCATTTTGTTAATTTTGATATCAACTTATGCGTCCACATTATTTCTTTGGTCGCTTCGCATGCTGCCACAAATTCTGCTTCGGTCGTTGAAAGAGCTATAGTTTTTTGTTTTTTCGATTCCCATATTACCGAAGAGCTTCCGAATTTTACAATGTATCCGCTCATTGACCTCCTCGTTTGCATGTCATCTGCAAAGTCCGCGTCATTAAAAGTGATTATGTCTTTCCAGTTATTTCCTGATTTGTACATTAAACCACAGTTAGCAGTTCCTTTTAAATATTTAACTATTCTCTTTATAGCATTCCAATATGCTTTACAAAGATTTTCGACAAATTGACTAGCCGTTATCACCGCGAATGCAATATCGGGTCGCGTAGTTTGCACTAGAAATAATAGACTACCGATCACCTCTCTATACGCTATATTCACACGATTATTGCTACTTGCTTAAACATTGAAATATTTTGATTACTATTCGCGATATATATATATATAGTTACAGATATAGTTACACTATTAGCTTCGGACATATTAAACTTATCTATTATATGATTAATATATTTGATACTTTTTAACGAAATAGCGTCGCTTTTATAAGTTTTTATTTTTATACCTAGAAATAAGTTTATTTCGAGTACTTTAATTTCGAATTCGTGGGCAAGTATTTCAAAAACTTTGCCGATTCTAGTTTTATACAATTAATCCGTCATCTACATAAATTACTATGTACGTTTAATCTTTAGTTTTTATACTTACATACGCACATGGATCAACATTAGTTGCTACTATTCCAATTTTTTTCAGACAGTCTGTAAATTTATCGTTCCAATAGCGCGATGCCTGTTTTAACCCGTATAAACTTTTGTTTAACTTACATCAGTGCTGGGATTTAGATGCAACTTTCGGCCGGATTTCTTGACTCACGCCTACGGTTCCCCCTCTTACTGTTACATACTCATTTTTTTCCGCCATCGCGACCTTCTGACGGTTCCACATAGATCTCCTCATCTAATTTACCGTTAAGAACAGTAGTTTTAAAGTCAAACTGCCTCAGCTTTAGGTTTTTCGCCGCTGCCATGGCTAAGATTGCTCGAATAGTATTGTATTTTGCCACCGGGCTGAATGTTTCATGAAAATCCATACCTCTTGCTGGTAGTCTTTTGTTACGATTCTGAGCTTATAACGATCCGTTGTACCATCAGTCTTAGTTTTGATCTTGAAGACCCATTTATTGGATAGGCCCCGTGATCTAAGTGAGCAAGCCGTTAAGGTTCAGATTTTATTTTTCTTGTGAGCCTCTATCTCCTCGTCTATGGCCTCTTGCCATATTATTGCATCTGATCTTTGAACAGCTTCCCTGTAAGTTAAGGGCTCATCTCCCTCTGCAACATATAAATTATTATTCAAAGAATCTACAAAATTAATATATCTGGCAAGAGGTTTCGGGCTTGATCTATCTCGCAACGTTCGTTCTATTGCTTGTTGTTTAGAAACTTGTCCTTCTCTTGGTTCGTGAGTGTTCTAGTTGTCTTTTAGAGGTATCAAAGTGAGTTGTTTCTTTTTCGATTTCATCGACGCTATTGGACCTGGTATTTGCTTCCTCTTCTTCCTCTTCAGTTTGATTTTCTTCTGTTTCTTCTGTTTTCTTCATTTTTGCTTTTCTCTGATTTTTCTGAAGTCTCTCCGTACACATCGGTCCAAGCAATTTCTTCCTTATTTTCCTTTTTGCTTTTGCCCTTTTCGGATTCCTCTTAAAATATGACATCTCGCTGCGTATCCACTTTATTTTGGCTGGGATACCAGATCCTGTACCTCTTTATTTCTTCTTTGTATCGTACGTGTATGCCCTTAGTTGCTTTCGAATCCCATTTTAATTTCTTTTTGCTTTGAAATATGTACATATACTTATGTGCCAAATATTTTGAGATGTCTTATGCTCGCCTCCTTTCCATGCCACAGCTCATACGGAGATCTGTTATTTAGTTCCTGTTTTCTTGCACGATTCAACACATATGCTACTGTGTTAACAGCCTCTACCCATAGTTTCTTGGATATTTCTTTTGCTAGCATGATGAACTAGCTGCCTCTACAAGTATTCTGTTTTCTCTCTCAGTTTGGCCATTTTGTTCGGATTTGTACGCCACTGTTCGTTCGTGTCAAATGCCGAGTCTGTCGATTTCTTCCTTCATTTTCCAGTTTATGAATTCTTACTTATTCTGTATTTCCTGAAGAGCTCTGGAACTCTGATTTATTTTTCAGAAAGTATACTTTTCTATACTTAGAGTAATCATCCTTGAAGAGAAGAAAATACTTTGAATTCCCAATCGATGTCTCCTCCATGGGGCTACACAGCATGCATGGATTAGCTGCCCTATTTTCCTCGCACTGCTTTTGCTTACTGAGAAATTCAATCTGTACATTTTTCCTATTATGCATGCTTTACATGAGAGTTTGCTTACTTGTTCTGTTGCTTTTATTCCTTCGTGACTGAGCACTTGTTTGACATCCTTAAGATTTAGATGTGTCAGTCGTTCGTGCCGTATTTGCAGGAAGTTATCTTC